CCGGGCCGGTTTCCCGTCTCGGGCCCTTTTTTTCGTGGTCCCTGGGCCCGCAACCGTCCCCCCGAGGCCGAACTCGTAGAAACTTGGCCGCCCTGATCTTTTCCGCACGGTGCAGGCCCACATCCTGTTCTTGGGACGGTGGGGTGTTTGGTGCCCGTGACGGGGGACGTGTTCCGCAACGCGCCACCGCGAGGTGGCGGCGAAGAAGCGCTTGCTGCTCAACAAGATGCGCAGTGCGGAGCTCTGAGAGCGGCTCATCCTCCATGTTCCCTCCTCCCTCCCTAGAGCAGCAGAAGCCGAGGGGTAGGCTCGGGGTAGGGTTCGGTGGAGCCGAATCGGGCATCAGCAACGCCTCAGGTTGAGCCTAAGGGTCGGTTGCTGGCCGACGATGCTCTTGTTCCTCAGATTCGCCTCGCGTCGCGAAGGTGAACAAACAGGTTGCCTTCCTTACTGCAGTCTGCTCTCCTTCCTCCTCCTCCTTCCTCCTCTTCCTCCTCCCCCCTCCCTCCGTCCTCCCTCCCCCCTCCTCCCTCCCTCCTTCCTCCTCTTCCTCCTCCCCCTCCCCTCGCAAGATCTGGAGTGCCGAGGTGGACCACTGGTCCCGAGTGTTCGGAGGCCCGGAGAGGCAGCAGTCTCGTGCCCCTTCCCGTCCATCCCCCTTCCCCCCCTTGCCTTCTGTAAGGGGCCCCATTACTCCTCCTCCTCCTCCTCCTCCTCCTCCTCCTCCTCCTCCTCCTCCTCCTCCTCCTCCCGTCGCCCTTGCCGTCGTCGTCGTCGTCGGCGTCCGCCTGCCTCCCCCCCTCCACCGCATCCCAGACGCAGGGCGAATCCATCGTCTCTCTGATTGGCAGGCAGTGCAGGGGCCCACACCCGTCGGGTCCTCCCCTCCATGCCCGAGGGGCGGAGCCTGCCCGTCTCGGGCTGCCCGCGTCGGCCCGTGGCCAGGCTTTTGGCCTCTCGCAAGTCGTCCTGCCTCCTTCGCTTCTGACTTCTGGGGTCCTTTATCCGTAGTGCTCCGTGATGCCTCGACTGCCTCGCGTTGTAAAGAGACACGGCGGGAGGTTTTTGACCGTTCGCGTCAAGAAATAAGCTACGCGGGATGAACAACCAGTCCCAGAGAAGGGGTCCAGACCTCTGGGGAGCCACGTTGTCGGATGTATGGGCCTCCCGTGTGTGTGTGTGTGTGCACACAAATATGTATGTATGTACGTATGTCCGTATGCATGTATGTGTGTATGCATGTATGTGTGTAAATATTCGCACGTGTACTAGTACATGTATGCGCATTTTTTTAAAACCCATCTTTATAGGGGCATCCATCCGCATACATATACACATACACTCGTAACTTGTTTACCGCTTTTTTTGAATTATTTACTGCCATGTCATGTGATGTAATTTACAGGGTTATCCATTGTACCATTTTCGAACTATAGGCAATTCTGTTATGGGAAGTCACACTATTTGTTAATATACTATCTCGCATGCTCCCATGCTCTTATTACACTACATCATACCATATAGCATCACAGTGATGTTAATGTAGTTTTGTTGTATTCTACCATACCACATAACAAGTGAACCTTATACATTGTACCACATGTTTATATTTATGCATATTACCTTACGAATGCCTACAATCTATGATTATATCACCTATTGTACGTACATGTCGCCAATTCGCTCTTCTTACACGTGTGTGTAGTGTATTAAACAAATCCTTGCTATTGTATATATTGTTATTCCCTAGCGTATTGTATTGTATCATACACACTGTGTCCTATACGATTCCATGTGATATCACATCATACTTACTATTCATCACGTTCCGGCTTATATTTAAACGGGTGATGCCATATTACATTTTAGCATAATCTATTTTATCACCGTGTATACGTTTATAATGTATGGTGTGTGATTCACTTGGGAAGTGTAATAGGTTGTCTTACTACAAATGCTATCATTTACAATGCTATTAAGGTAGTTGTAGGATAGTAGTTTCCATTATGATATTTTCCACTCTAAGATGATATGATGCATGCTATCATATATATATATATATAATATATATATTATATATATAATATATATATATATATTTGTGTAGAATGTGTTATACTATACTCGTTTCTTTCACATCATATTTCATTATGTTAGGTTGGAGTTCAGTTTCCGTATTACGTTATATCCTATTATACTATTAACATATACTATGTTTGAGTATGCTGTATTCTAACATGTGTTATTTGGCATCAAAAATGGTAGTATAACTTAGTATTCATACACTACAGCGTACATTATAACATACTACATCGCACTGTGTAATGCCGTATTTCCAGGTTCAACTATACCGTCGTGCAGTATATGACATTGAGTCATATCATTTCATGGTACATATATATTGTAGTATCTTATGTCGTATTGCTATACATAGTACACTACATCATCTTATATTTAAGTATTTTGTACCATATTAATCATATGTCGTACAATATGTTATGTTGTAATGTGCTGTATTCCTTGACACACGCATATATATACATATATATATATGTATATATATATATATATATTGATCTATCACATGACCCATACTGTCTCAATATACAGAAGTTCTGTTCGGTGTCGGAACCCTTCTGGTTCGGTTCGATTCGGTTTGCGGTCGTGAACTTTGCCGCCCGGTTCGGCCTGGCTTGCTGTACGTTTGTTTCGGGCTCGGTCCGGTTTGGATGTGGCTAGCTCGGCGATAGCGTGGTGCTTCGCGGCGACCCGGTTCGGGCAACGCAGGTCTGGTTCAGGCCCGATCCGATCCGATTTCGATGCGCCCTTGCTGATTCCAGTTCCGGTCCGATCCCTCTGGCTGTTTCGGGTTCCCAGCGCGCGGATGCCGATCCCGATTCCGGTCCGAAGAAGCAGGGGTGATGAGGGGGAGGGCGAGCCGGGCGGAGGAAAACGGGACGACGACGTCAGCAGTGGCGGCGACGACGACGACGATGAGACCCCTGGAGCAGGGCGCGCCCTCGTCCGCGCCCTGGCGGCTTCTGGCGCCGTCGGTGACTCCCCGCCGTCGGTCGTCGTCGACGTCCGCCGCCGCCGCCGCCGTTGTCGTCGTCGTTATCGTCGTCGTTGTCGTCGTCGTCGTCGTCGTCGTCGTCGTCGTCGTCGTCGTCGTCGTCGTCGTCGTCGGGCGTCGTCGCCGTCATCGTCGGGCGTCGTCGGTCGGCCCCCTCGTTGCGTTTTCGATTGCAGAACAAAAACTACAGGCCCCGTGGGGCCGCGGGAGGGGGTCCTGAGAATGGGCAGTCGCCGCCGTCGCCGTCCGTCGTCGTTGTTGCCGTTGCTGACTGCTCCTGCCTGCTGCTGGCCGCTTCCGTCCGCCTCAAGGCCTGGTTTCGATTTTGGGTCCTCTGGGGGAGCCTGGGGGGGCGTCAGACTGCCTCAGGGGGATGTTGTAGGGGCTTGCGGAAGTGTTAGACGGGCCCGGGGAGGTGGTGTATAGTTTAATCATTTTCCGGGGCCGTATAATTCATACAGCCCCGGGAAGGTGTTACACGGCCCTGGGGAGGTTACACGGACCCTGGGAGGTGCTACAGCCCCAGGGAGGTGTTATACGGCCCCGTGGAGGAGCTATGCGGTCCTTGGGAAGTGCTTCGTACGGCCAGGAGGTGTCAGGCGGCACCTTGGTTTCGATTTGTTGGGGCCCTGGTTGGCCTCGGGGGGGTGTTAGACGGCAGCAGGAGGATGTCATAGGGGCCCGCGGAGGTGTTATACGGACCCGAGGAGGTGTTATGCAGCCCTGGTGGGGTGTTATACTGCCCAGGGAGGTGTTATACTGGCCCTGGGAGGTGCTATACAGCCCCAGGAAGGTGTTATACGGCCCGGGAGAGGTGTTGTACGGCCCTGGGAAGGTGTTATACTTTGCCTTGGAGGTGCCTCATAGGCCCCGGGGGAGGTGTCAGACCCTGGGGGGTTGTTATATAGGCCCGCGGAGGTGTTTCCAGGCCCGGGAGAGTGTTCTACAGCCCTGGCCCTGGGGAGGTGTTATACGGGCCTGGGGAGATGTTATGCAGCCTTACGAAGGTGCTATATGGCCCTGGGGAGGTGCTATACGGGCCTTGGGAGGTGCCTCATAGGCCCGGGGGAGGTGTCAGACGGCCCCAGGGGGCTGCTATAGGGGCCCGCGGAGGTGTGACAAGGGGGGACCAAGGGGGCCCCAGGGGAATCGGCTGGCGTCGTCGTCGCAGTCCGTCGCCGCCGTCGCATTTCTTCTTGGCTCCTCCTCCTCCTCCTCCTCCTCCTACTCTTTCTCCTCTTCCTCTTCAATGGGCGCCCTTACATACACTTTGCGCGGATGTCCAGTTTTCGATCGAGAGCTTCACCCGTCTCGGCGGGCGCGTCTGCGTGGCGTCGGCCGTTCATCTCGGCGCACCCCTCGCGCGTGTTGTATCCCATTACAGTGAGGAGAGTACGCCTGCGGCACCAGTGGGACCGTCCGCGTGGCGTCGCCCTCGCCCCCATCGGCACGCCCGCAGTTCGCATCGGACCATGCCCGCGTAATCGGGGAAGTTCGGGCACCTCTGTCTGTGCGCCTGCTCCGACAGTGCCGCCAGAGCTCCAAGGAATCTTCGCGCCCCGCCTTGCGGACCGTCCTCGTCCTGAACCCACCCGTCGCGGCCGACGGCGACCTGAGGCGGTTGCCGGCGCGCGCCGCCGGCGCACCCTGGAGGCTGGGGGAACACCCCCCCAGACACGTCTACTAGATAGGAGGCTCCAGCCGGGGAGGCCGAAGGAGGCCCACCGGAGGCTTGCGTGCCCGAGGAATGACGACGACGACGAGGACAGCGACGACAGGGAATGACAGGGAGCTCCTCCTCCTCCTCCTCCTCCTCCCTCCTTTCTCCTCCCTCCTGTCTCCTCCCTCCTGTCTCCTCCTTCCTCCCTCCTCCAGCCAGCCTGGCTCAGGCCCGAGCTTCTGCCTGGCGGTGGTCCCCCACGGAGGCATGGCTGACCCGGGGGCTTTCAGCCTGCGGGCCGCAGCCGCGGGCTCGGCCGACTGCGTGCCGGCGCCCGCCGGCACGAAGTGCGTCCCGGAGGCGCTGGAGAGGCTCATGCTCGACGTGGAGGAGGTCCTCGACAGACACCGGGTGCTCTGCGGGGACTCTCCGGCGCGCTCGTCGGCCTACAGTGTGTGCAGGGTGCAGCCAGTCTGCGGGAGCGCCCCGGGCCTGCTGCAGACGCCGCCCCCCATGATCACACCAGCACCGCCGCAGGCCCCTGGGAACGGGGAGCGCCAGCCGCTCAGGCTGTAGCCCCCATCGCCCTCCCTCTCCCAGGCAGTGGCTCAAAGTGCGGGCGTCGGAACATCAAGGACTCCTTTCGAGCTCGTTTCGAGGCTCTGGAGGGTCAGGATACTGGGCGTGGGAGCACCTCAGGTAGCGCTTAGTCCTAGGTGGTTCAAAATGGGACCCCGAGGACGAAAACCTCAAACAGTGAAGTTTCGACTCGTGATCCATTCGCTATCCTCGGAACCCCATCTCGCAGGGCCCCATCTTTGAACCGCCGACCTCCGTCGTCTCTGGAGCTTGCGCTGGAGAAGAGACACAGAAGCTCGAGGAACAAACAACAAATGACATAATGACATATAATCATTCGGAGGTCGCGCTGATTTCTTGGATCGGCACTGGACCCCCCTCCCTGGCGCGCGGAGCGCGCCTGGGGCGGTGCCAGAGGCGCCGCCAGGGTGTTCCAGCGCAGATCCAAGAGCTACGCGAGGACCGTCGAAAGTATGTATTTGTGCAGTTTCTTCCTCCGTCAAAGACGCAGCAGGGTCCTCATGGCAGAAAAGCCGACGACAAAGCCGCGTGCATCCTGCCGGGCCCCGCGGGCAGGCCGACGCGGCCGAGCACGTCGTGGTCGTGACCAAGCCGAGCTCGCCGCTGGAGGTCCTCTCTGCGTCGCCGCCCGCCGGCTCGCCTGTGCGCCCAGAGTCGAGGCCGAGCAGGCCGTCCCCTCTCCTCCGGGCCGCCCCAACGGGGTCGGAGGCTGATGCCCAGAGGTCCAGCGCACTCCGGGCCACCCCAGGGGCGCGAAGATGCTCGCGCTCCGCGCATCGCGGCTCGGGTCTGCGAGCTGCCCCTCTCCAGGGGGGCGGCGCGAGGGCACGAGGGCGCGAAGGCAGCCGCGCGTCGCGCATCGCGGGGCGCGGTGCGCGAAGCTTGGTGACCCGGGTATCGTCGAACTAGATGCGGAGATTTTTTTGTTATCCGTCTTCGGCCTCCCTGGGGGCCCTGCCCCCAGGATTCCCGGGGAGGCCCCCCTGCCCTCCGGAGCACCCCTCACGAGGCCCAGCGGGCCCCACGGGCCTGAAAAAATTGAGCGAAACGCGGGGGGCACCTTGAGCCAGGGGCACTTGCAGCACCCCCCGTCAGGGTGGTGGTGGCAGTGGGTGTCCTCGAATCTAGGCCTCCTAGGTGGGGTCGGAGCAGATGGGGTCGGAGGATCGCGCCGCATCGCTGATGCATCGGCGATGCGGCCCGATGTGGCGCTACGCCGAGGTCGCCGATGCATCGCCGACGTTGCTGATACATCGGCGATGCGGCCTGATGTGGAGCCCGATTTTCTCCATGCTGACGGCGCCGATGTATCGCCAGCGTTGCCGATGCATCTACAATGCATCGACGATGCATTGGCGATGCGACGCGATCCTCCGACCCCCTCTTCTCTGACCCCATCCAGAAGGCCTCCTGAGTTTGGTGGCCGTGGGTGTCCTCGAAAGAGGAAGAACGGCACAAGCATAACAAATTTTCGCAGCTCCGAGCGGATTTCTTGGATCGGCGCTGGACCCCATTTCCCTGGCGCGCGGAGCGCGCAAGGGGCGGAGCCGGAGGTGCCGCCAGGTTGGTTCAACGCCTCCAGCGCCGCCAGGTGGGTCCTGGCGGCGCCTCTGGCGTCGCCCCTGGCGCGCTCCGGGCGGGGAGGGGGTTCCAGCGCCGATCCAAGAAATCCGCGCAGACCTCCGACAGTCCATGTTTACGCAGTTTTTTGTATGCCTCTACGGTGGCGGCTGTGGGTTTCTGTTTTCCCTGCAGGGGCTCTTCCGTCGGGAGTGGCACCTGGGCCAGGTCCCCGACACACAGCAGGCGCGAACGCAGCAGGGTTAGCAGCAGGAAGACCGCCAGGGAGACCTCCACTAGCTCGGGGGCGACCGACGCGGTAGCCGAGGCGGCGTCGAGGCTGCGAAACAACGGGTTTACCCGCGGCGACACAGGCAGGAATTGGATGCACACCCTCGTGGAGGACAGCAGCACTAGCATGTCTCAGAGATGGAGCCTCGTCGCGCGGTGGGGCAGCAGGGTGTCAGACGCCGCGGCCAGGATCCGAATACCATGAACAAATCTGCGCAAGCATGAATTTGCCACCGCGCGGGTTTCTTGGATTGGCGCTGTCCCCCTGGCGCGCTCCGCTTGCCAGGGGGGGGGTCCAGCGCCTACCCGAGAGATCCGCGCGGAACTCCGACTTGTTCCCTGCCTAACAGGTTGGGGTCTCTAAGGTTCCAAGACAGGAGCTACCGACCCGCCACCCTGCACACCGCGGCCGGAATGCCCTCAGTGTGCCCGGTCTCCGTCGGTGTCCCGCCCCGTGCTCTCGACGAATGACGACTACAGACCGCGGCCGCCAGGCTCAAAGTGTGTCGGTGCTCCCTGGGTATCACGCCTCGCGTTCTTGGGTGGCGATCGCTCGGAGCACAAGTTTTTTTTTTTTTGCTTTTCAACCATCCTGTGTTGTTGGGTCCTCGTTTCGAAGAGACGGTCCCCGCGTTCCCATTCTCCTCTTCCTCCTGCTCCTCCTCCTCCTCCTCCTCTCCTCCTCCTCCTCCTCTCCTCAAGCAACTTGGGCCCAAGCAGTTGCTTGCGTCCATCCCTCTGGGCTTCCCCGCAGCGCTTGAGGGACTAGGCTTGGAGGTGCGCCAACACCTCTCGGCCTCGACTGACACAGAGGGTTCAGCAGTTCAGTTCAGCCATGGCAGCGCACCACAGGGCTTCCAAGCAGCTGTGGACTCGGTGCCCGTCGTGCCAGAAGTGCGAGTGGAACAAAAAGTTGCAGTCCTACGGGTGTATCTGCAGCGGATGTGGTGCAATGGTGTCTCTGTTCACTCCGAAGAAGAAGGTGCACTTCTAGGATCGCGAATCCGACGACGAAGGGTTCTACGATGCTTTCAGTGGCGAGGACTCCGCCACGGAGCTAGAGCCACTGCCCGTGGGCATCCTCAAGGACGGAGCGCGCTCTCGCAGTGCGTCGCCTGGGGGAGTCAAGAACGGCAAGGGCGTGAAGGGAGGAGCTCATCAGGTACGGGCTCTACTGCAGAAGGCGGTCGAGGCGGCGGCGGCGGATCCCACGCTCAAGGCGGCGCTGGAGACGCAGCCGGTGCAGATCACCACCAAGGAGCAGATGATGGTGTCGCGTGAGACACCAAGGGAGGCGCTCAAGAGGGCCGAGGGCGCGGTCCGCAACTGTGAGCACCTCCGCGAGCAGGCCGTAGGCAGCGTCCTCAGGCTCCGCGGCAACTTGGCAGCGGCGGAGCAGAAGGAGCAGGCGGCGGCGCGGGCGCTAGCGGAGGCCTTGGCTTCGAAGAAGGCCGCAACCTTGGCCTTAGCGGAGGCCGAGGGGCTGGCGCCCGCGGCGGATGTGGCAATGAAGAAGGATCAGTTGTTCACGATCGAGTGGGACGAGCAGTTTTTTGGCGAGTTCGATACTCTGGAGTGCACGGACAAGGAAAGGGAGGCGCTACGTAATATCAAGGCTCAGCTTGAGGAGGTGCGCGCCGCGTTTTCGGGCCGTGAGACGGAGATCAAGAAGTGGCTCAAGGAGGCCGCGGAGTACCAGCAGGCGATCTCGGACAGGCTGGCCAAGAAGCGCAAGGGCGCTGACGGCTCCCCCCAGGCCCCCGAGGCCGCGGCAGCGGGCAGCGTCGAGGGCAGCTGCTCCCAGCAGGTGCCCCCGAGTAGGGGTGAGCCTAGCCAAAATGTTCCCCCTCTCCCCAATTCGAGCCAGCCCCCCGTCACGTCGGAGTTTAAAGCAGACTTGAGGCCGAAGAACGATGCCCCTGAATGTGACCTCAGCCCTGACCCGCCATTTTACATCCCTGGTGACTTGTGGGGGCGGTGTCGTGCAGAGGTGGGGTTCACGCCAGGTGAGCAGTATATTCAGTCAGCTTCCCCATCTGTGCTGTCCTCCGTTGCATCTGGGCTCCAACTCACTCTTGTTACTTATGGTATGTTCGGCGCGTGGGTGGCATCAGTGGAAGCTGCCATCCTGCAGCATCATGGCATGGAGGCACAGCGGCAGTCTCGTGCGCAGGGTCCGCAGTTTCGTGTTCATCCAGTGCAGGCAGCGCGCAGCCAGAGAGATGTGGAGATACATGACCAGAGAGCACACTGGTGGGTGAGGGCCCACGCGATCTTGAGCGGAGACGCCCGCCATCGCCGCAGGGTGAATGACCCCAAGCAGCTGCAGCAGTACCTGTACGACGCCAAGAAGCTAGTGGGCGACCGTCCAGAGGGCATCCACAGTATATTGAGAGTGAATAAGGATGCACCTTGGGAAGAGTGGGTTAAGCTGTTGAATGATTGTGAATCTCGAAATGTGGCGGTCCTTGAGTCATCTGTGGACAGTGCTCGACGTATCGGCGAGCGGGCCCAGAGATATGCGGTGCAGGCGTCTGTGCTGCGTTTTCGTGAATGGGTCACCATGCCCGATGCAAATGGGGTGCTACACAAATCGCTCAAAAAAAGGTCCGTTCCCGCCAGTTGACATTCAGTGTGGGGATCAGAGCTGGTTTCATCCCAGAGACCTCATCGACGCCAAGGGTCAGGTTTTTCAGCAGATGCGGGCGCCTACGCCAGTGGATCGCAGTTCAGTCAGTGAGGCGATCAGGGTGATTCGTGAGGCTGCTCAGATTTCGGCGCTGCCGCCTCTGGAGCCTCAGATGCTCCGTCAGGCTGCTGGTCGCATGGAGGCCAAAGCGGGGCTTGGCGTCGACGGGCTGACGCCTCTAGATTACCAGCGCCTCCCTGAGGCGGCCTTGGGCGAGCTCGCGCTCATCTTGCAGGCAGTCGAGGGCGCGCTGAGTAGGCCCGTTCAAACTATGTTGGTGCTGGGTAAACTTTTCCCCGATAAAAGCTTGGGAGATAGGGCTATCGGCCTGGTGTCGATGTTAGGTCGACTGTGGTCGATGGCCAGAGAACCCGTGGTCAGATCTTGGGGCAAGGAGAGCGCCCAAGACTGGGATGCGGCCATTGCTGGTAATTCATGTTTGATGGAGGCGTACTTGAGAGCGATCGACAAAGAGCTGGCGCATGCAATGATGATGCAGTATGGACATGGAATGCTAGATATCAAGTCATTCTACGACAGCATCCCATGGGCGCTCCTGGCTACCGCAGCACTTCGTCTTGAGTTCGATCCTGTTATTTTATGTTTGGAGCTGCTCCAGTGCATTGCACCACGGGCGTTGGAACACGAGAACGCTATCACGGAGCCCTTCGGCCCGTCGCTATCGGTTGTGCAAGGGTTGAGGCGCGGAACCAGATTCGCAAAAATAATGACGCATTAAATCATGGTGGTTGTAAATACATCGCACCCTCGCATGGGTCAGCGTCTCTGGATTGACGGCGTGTCACAAACGGTGAAAGGATCACGGCCGGCAGTGAAAGAAGAATTGGCGCGATGTATCATCACCACTTGTAAAGAGATGAAGAAACGGTCGCTGGCAATTGCAGACAAGTCGGTAGTCATGTGTACGCGTTATAAAGATGCCCGGTATGTTGCGCGGAAAGTTAGGCAGACAGGATTTGTAGTCAAACCAGTACTTCAAGCAGCTTATCTAGGAATCGACTTCGGGTGTGGACGTCGAGCTCGAGCGGTGCGTGTCCAAAGAGAAAAGAAGCGCAAATGGATGAGCTGTAGAATTCGTCGATTCGCCAGGACCACCCGACAATATGGTGCAATCGGAAAGTTACAGCGTCAAGGTGGATTGCCCGCTGGACTGTACGGACATCAAGTACACGGAGTGTTTGGTTCGCAGCTTACTCAATGCCGCAGGAGGCTCGCACAGTCGCGCGCGTCGTCGGCTAGATGCTTGACCGCGGTGTTGGATCTTAGAGCTCCTGACGCGGACCCAGCAGTGTTATATCCAGTGCAGACTTTTGATGGTTGGCTGAAGGTGTGGAATCAACATGAGGAGATCCGCAGTGGGGTTCGCAAAGTATGGGGTTCCATCGCCGACAAGTTTCAACAAATGACGGAAGCGCAGCAGTGTCGGGCCATTCGTGGCCCCGTGCCCACGGTCATTCACAGCTTGCTACGCCTGGGATGGAATCCTTTGCAAGCTTCCACGTGGTGTTATCAAGCTGGCCCCGATCGAGTTGAAGAATGGTAATTCCCCGACAGCGCTGATCGGCAGAACAAAGTTGTGTTGCATGCGGATCTTTTGGCAGATATTAAGGAAGCAGCTGAACTGAAAGTTTTGGTCCGTTGCATCTCATCATTACTGCGTGTGTGTGGTGGTGGTGGTGGTGGTGGGGGGTGGTGGTGGTGGGGGGGGGGGGGGGCGAGTCTGGAGTAGGCAGCACCTCTTTTAGAAAGATGTTGCGCCAAATCAGTCGCTTGGAAAATGGTAAGCGTATGGCCGAAGTCATGGTAATGATCGCAGCGGGAGGGTGTTGACCAAATGAACGTAAACAAAGGAGTTGAACAGGTATGCAGGCAGTGATGTATGTGACCGATGCGGAGATGCCGTTGAGTCGCCACGTCACAGGTACTGGACGCGTAGGTGCAATCGAGGGGCGGAGCCGTGTCGTATGCCGGATGAACTCGTCGTGCAAGCACAAATTCAAGCAACATCATGTGAGGTTTTTGGTTGCGAGGTCTTTTACCTAGGAGCTGGACCGCTATTCCGCCCCCCGCTTCTGAGGCCGCTTGGGGCTTCTCGGGGCCTTCGATGGGCCAAGGAGCCTGGGGCCTTGGTGCTCCGCATGAGCCCCTCCCAGGTGTTCGGGGGCGCCTCGGGAGGCCCCGAGTCCAGCGACTCTAGAATGCGCAGAGTGTGGGTGGCCATTGCCCTCTGCTCCCAGCTTGTGCCGTCTGTCCAGATAGACGCTTGTGTTTATGGCCCTTTGGTAGGAAGAGGGCGCGTGGTTGCCCGAGGAGAGCTCCGAGCTTTCCTGCTCGCCGTGTGGATGTCTCAAGATTGGCTGTGTCATATTACTGTTTGTGACTATGTAGCTCTAGGCTGGTGTCAACAACTACATAAGTATCCCGCAGGTGAGGATGCTGACCTGTGGGACGAGATAGGCCGTTGCTCCAGCACCGATGT